CACAAAGTTTATACTTACATAATCAAGGTAATCCAATGAAATTGACATCACAGACCTTACCTCATGTTTCCAACCTGAAACATTTACCATACCTGTCTCATGTACCCACTAGGACTAAGATCAAGAAAACCAAGTAGAAGCAGATATTCACAGTAAGCACTCAAGAGCAAATAAATATGCGAGGACGATATATTATAGGATAACACACATAGATCTTTTCAAAAATATGCTTACACAAAACTACATATTAACACTAAGTTAATCAAGCACACGGTCAAACACATATGCAACAAATGCATAAATGACCCACAAAAAGATCTCACCACACTTATCTTATCCCATTCCGTGTTGCTCACACCTCGAGAACAAATATCTCCTCTCATCGCCTACCATGCCACTAGACTGATCGCTCTACTCATGTCTATCTGGTAAATCACAATAGATTCTAAGTTCTCGGGATAATTCTTTATCACCACATCATTTCTCCCAATTTATATGGATAATGAGTTTTCACCTAACAGAAGTGATATAAGTGCCTCTCTCATACTTCACTTGTACAAGGTCTTTTCACAGATAAATGATTCCAACATTTAATCATCTCTCTACTCGTGATCGAAATGTCACACTTTACATTCCCTATGCATATCACCAATGCACCTTCAGGTATCTATACTTCACCTCACTAAAAGGCATACAGCTCATCGCTAATGCATCTCAAACTCACTATGACAAATCAACACCTTTTGGCCACCACAAAGGTTAGGGCTCAATTTTAAATTGACCCACGCACCACAATGTTACTCCAATCACTAATGCTCAAAAATCCACAAAGGAAATGACAAAGGTAGCACTCGTAAAGAGAATAGAAGAAAGAGTTGGTTACTTCACTATACTCATAAAAGAGGCTCACAAAGAGAAATAAGATAACCCTATATGACTGCCTCACACAAGCTCACAAATCACACAAGCTCACAAAGATAAATGAGAAAACGACTACCCATCTCGCTTCTCACTACCACACTCTCACACTACTCATAGAGCAAACTGAGTACGCCACAAAACTTAACCCACTATGCATGCAATTAAATTACACCAAGTAATAAGATCGCTCTACTTCATGCAATTACATACATCAAACATATTGAATGTGTAACATATCAACATTGCAATAGAATTGATTGATCACACATGCAGAAAAGATTACACACAAATGTAAATGCAGTAGCTAGGTTTACTCTCAATAAACCTTACACAGGTCATCACTCGACCCAATGACAGCGTTCGCCTAACCTCTCTCATTATCTTTCCTTTTATTATCATTATTAGAACAATCTATCTCACCATATCCAAATTTACCACAGTTAAAACACATCTTACTTTCGCACTTGCCTTAGACCTACACATGCTATCAAAACCAAATAATGACCACAAGCAAAGTCTAAACATAATTCACATAGAATAATCAAATAAACTTTCCTAAAGTCACATGCATTTCTAACGATATAGAAAAATTGATAACAAATTCATAAAGAATTTAAGGCAAACAATTCCTAGGTTTAGCAATGGCAATGATTACCCCTTCACGATAACCCCAAACCTAACATCACCCCACACGATGACTTCTAATGCGAAAAATAAATAATTACTCTACACAATAATTTTAACAACAATAATAAAAGGCAAAGAATACGATACCAAATGGACCACATCTGAAGGTCCGTAAATATTGAGAGACGTGATTTACAACTTTAGGTCATCACTGTTCATTCTAAAGCTTCCAACAACCACAGCAACACAAAACGACATTTGGCACCCGAACGACCAAGGGAAAAATCATCCAACTTTCACCGTATTGCTCAAAACTAAAATTTGACAATACTGTAGGGTCTTTCTTGTTATCAGAAACATTCTATCTTTTGGCACCATCCTTGAAAGTAACTGGAAGCGC